AGTGCCGAGATAGGTCGAGCAGCTGCCGCGGCAAGGGCGCGCGAGCAACTGATCCAGCAGTGGCAACAAAACTGGAACGCGAGCACAAAAGGTCGATGGACACACTCCCTGATAGCCGACCTTCAAACATGGCTGAACAGACCACATGGGGAAGTCGATTTCTACCTGACGCAATTCCTCACCGGTCATGGTTACTTCCGAGAATATCTTCATAGAATGGGAAGGGTGGACTCACCGTTCTGTCACTACTGTGGAAACGTCGAAGATAATATTAATAAAACTGTAGATTGTTTCTCTGTTTGAACTCACTAATCTCCGGAACTACTGAATGGATTTTCATGGGGCTTTAACTGGTATATAGAGAGTGACCTCGGACGCAACCTAGGGTATAAAAAAAAAACCTGACAAAGGGCGATGCACCTCCCATAGGCGTGACATTTTTAATCAACCATAACTTCGAAATCATACGTCACATGAATTTGAAGCTCTGCTCTGCAGCGCAAAAAATGGTGCCGACAGATGGCGCCGGAGTCGAGATATTTAGAGACCCCGTCTTTATCGTATGACCAGGAGTAACGGGTATTAACTTACGCTAGGAATATCAATGATTATGAAGAATACGGTAGGAATATCAATGACCCCGTTTGAACGGGTAAACTTTCATTCTGGGAACAGGAGGATTATAGAAAATTACGCACTCTTGGCAAACCTTGCAATACGTACAGATATCTCACAGGTGGAAATAAGAGCTCATAACATCGAAGAATATTAGTACTTAACCCAAATGCTATCTCAGGGCTATTATTCTTGGCCTATGAGTAAGCAAGGTTCTGCTCTTTAGTCCTTTCAACCTAAACTAATAAATTTTACATTACAAACCGTTTTTGTATAGCAACCCCATTTTTGTATATATTGTATATTCTTATAAGGCGTCGCGAAGCAAGCCAGGCATTTGCTAACTAAGTGAATAATCAGATTAATATTAACTAAAGTGTTACGAATGTTTTTTTTTTCAAAAAAACTGGTGCTCCGGAGTTTTGTGATATGAAAAATGCATTTGTGATATCTATTTTTTATTTAAAGAACCGCAAGATGGCGCTTCAAAGCAAATCTACTATATATTTATGGGTGGCACCTCCCATAGTAAAAATTTTTAATCAGCTCTAACTTCGGAATTATAGTCACATGAACTCGAAATTTGAAATGCACAGATACCTATGGTAGGTGCTTATAGAAAGATATATGTATATAAATGAGTTTGTAAAAGGGGGCGTGGCACATCTCATAGGTGTGGAATCTTTTATCAGCTATAACAGCTATTAGTGAATTCATTGAATTGCATTTTGAAGATTTGGTATAATTGATCAAAGTGAAATTCAAATAAATTATAGATGATATGAAGTTCACCGGGTCATCTTCTAGTCTTTAATATATACTAAGTTAATATACGAAATATTTACTAAAGTGTTACGAACGTTATTTTTTAATACAATAAGAAAAAAATAACTATAATTTAAAGGAGTGACTCACAATGGCTAGAGTCGTCGCATATGTGTATTCTTTCATATACATATATATGGGCCGTTCTTACCCTGCAAAAAATGGACTCATCCGGGCTGACTCCGGGAGCAATCACAAAGGAGCATGCGGCTAATACCACTTTTGATCTCTTTATTTGGAATGAACTGTTCGCGTTTGTTCGAGCATGTCCTATGAAGAGACTAATTGTTCACCTTTATACCCGAACGGGTATAAAAAGCGACTAGTCACTTTTAAAAAATAAAAATTTAAAAAAGATTCGAACCCGGGTGCTCAGTTTTGTTAGGCGAATACTCTCTCTGTGTGCCAACGCCGCACATGAAATTTCATTGACTAAGTGCGTACATATCATTAAATCGTTAACAGTACCCGTTAGAGATGAGTTGGGGACTAATTGATCTCCAATTATACCCATAAGGGATGAGTCGAGACTAATTGACCTCCATTAGTACCCGTATGAGACTAGTTGCGACTAATTAACGCTGATTTGTACCCGATTGAGATCTCGGAATACTCTCTTTAGAGATTAGTCGCACAATTTTTTGCAGGATAGCGTTATATATTTTTCATCCACTCGATTATTCCTTACCTAAAATTTTTAAGTAAAAATTTGACAAGTTTTAACCGTTGATACAGTACCTGCTACCTGTAATTTAAAATGGATAACTGGGTAAACTTAATAAAGAAAACATATTCTCTGGTTAAATTAATAAACCTGCCCGGATAACACAAAATCCTAAACTTTATAAACATTTGGTGTTATAAAAGTTTTATAAAGCTCTACTTGTAACTAGGAAAAATGCCGAAAAAAAATTATAAAATTGATTGATTGATGGACAAAAATAGAGAGGGAGTTATAGCTATGACAATAGAATGTAGAAAAATGATACCTCGAGTTGAAAGCAAAAAGGATCTAAAACCAAAAAAACTATAAATACATTGTTAATCATAAAAAAAATGTGATTCGAAAAACAATTTTGAAATATTGTAAACTTTTACATTTTTTTGGTTTTTTAAAGTTAAAGTTTTATTTACTTACAGTAACGAACAAAAGTATTGGCACAGTGAATTTTTCGCAATATAGGCAAAGTTTCTAATTTATTTATGACAATTTTTTATAAAAACATAGTTCATACTACACCAAAACACATAAAAATCAAATGTGTAAACTTTGTGAAAAACTCGGGAAAATTCAATAAATTTGCATACTAATTTGCAACTTTCTATACAGATTTTTCAGAAAATTTCCAAGTATGCAGTTTAACAATCCATTCAATTTTAGTTTATCAAAGTGCAAATTAAAAACTTTGCATATATGTATTGCGAAAATTCACTGTGCCAAAACTTTTGTTCGACACTGTATGTACATATAAAAAAATACATACAGTAACGTCTCCTGTTACAATAGTAAAAAATATGTAATTTGCTTTGTAGTGTAATCTTCCGGTTCTTTAAATAAAAAATAGATATCAGAAATTAATTTTTCGTATCAATAAACTCCCAAGCACAGGTTTGTATTAAAAAAAAGAACTCCGTAACAAAAAATCTACAGTTTTATTATAGTATAGATTTTTATTATTATTATTAATATTATTATTATTATTATTGGTTTATAAAACATATTCTGAGCGTTCAGAATATATGAGTCTGAAAGGAGTCCTAGGTGGGTAAGAAATATGAGCTTCAAAAACAAAAAATGTGTGACTCTTATATGAATATTTTAGGAGTTATAAATGATCGAAGTTAGGAGCCAGCACTTTGTGGCTATATAAAAACAATAAAGATTCGAAATTTATATCTAAACTTGTTTATACAGAAATTGAAAATATTTAGAAAACAAAAAATATATAAAATTTAGCTGCAGCTGCTGCTATTAAATGCATGTTGGAATGTTTATATGTACTGAGGTATGTATACATACATGTGTATAGTATTTGAAGTTCAATAAGAGTTGAAAAATAAGGCCAATATGGCTCAAAGGAAAACATAAAATAAGAGTTCGAATGAAGTTATTTATGAGGACTATAAGACACATTTAAGAGCCTCAAAAAAAATCTGAAACGATTCATATANTAAATCAGTTTCTACCTACCGATTATCTTTTGACTTACGGATTCTTAGAAACACACCACTCTTGTAAGACACAAAACTCCGCGAGAAACGTTTAACCTCGTATGTATCTATGTTGAAGACCGTTTTCAATATGTATGAACGACACTAATTACTATTTCAGTTGAAAAAAATATCAATAACGAAAAATAAACACTGGCATATGTTGATGCCGTTGAAAAGCAAAATTGTATTCAAAAGAATTTGGTGCAAAGTAAATTTTGTTTGCAATAATTGGTATATCTTTTTCGTCCACATTCCAGTTTTGATAAAATATAGCCTATGTTACGTCCGAGGTCACTGTCTAGATACCAGTTAAAGCCCCATGAAAATCCATTCAGTAGTTCCGGAGATTAGTGAGTTCAAACAGAAAAACAATCTACAGTTTTATTATAGTATAGAATAAAGATATTTTCTTTCAAAATTGCGCAGGCTCGAAATTGATTTTAGAGCTATGGTCTAAAGGACTTTTTTTCTTAGAATTTTATGTAGAATCCGAATCTGCTAGGAACGATGTCGAAAAAAAATTTACCCGCCCTAATACATATGTATGTTGATAAAAGCTAAATTTGCATTGTAACTGTTTTTTCGCTAAAGAATTCAAAAAAGGTAGTTTATAATTAATGGTTTAAGACAATTAAGTAAAATCTATATTTAACATGTTTTGTCTTATAAATTGTATGGCCTTTAGTTTCTTGGCAATGGATTTATCCACAAGCGTGATGCACAGCGTAGTCGATCGCACACACTTGCGACAGATTGAAGATCCATTTTTATTGGAAAGCGAAGAGTTCGCAAAGCTATATCGTCTTACTCCCGATGCAATGGAAACAATAATTGACCACATTTATAGTGAAATCAAGGGAGCACGTATAAGCGCGTTATCAGTGGAAAAACGGACATGGCAAGACTCGTATATATATACATACATAAATTCAATAAATAAAAAGTACCATAAATACCATTGTTTAGGTATTAGCTGCTCTACGATTTTATGCAACTGGATATTACCAGCGGCCAGTGGGTGAGCAGTGGGGAATATCGATGAGTCAGTCTTCAATTTCAAGCAGTATTCGCAAAGTGACAAATTCCATAAATAAAATAAAGTTCGGGCAGTATGTACGCTTTCCAATGACGGCAACAGAACGGCATGAGGCTATAGAACAATGGACTGTTTCTCGACATTGTTTCCCAGGGGCAATAGGAGCAATAGATTGCACTCATGATGCCATTCGAGGACCTTACGAGCATGAGGAATCTTATGTGAATCATCATGGCTATCATTCCATTAATATACAAATGGTAGGCAATCAAAATTTATCTTCCTCCTCGTAATTGTCTTATGTGCATTTTTTTTGGCAGATATGTGATCCTACTTTGAAAATTTTGAATGTCAATGCGCGTTATCCCGGAGCACGTCATGACTCCTTTATATGGAGTGCATCCGCTACCCGCAGAGTTATGAGATCATATGAACGAGGAGAACGTGGAGTTTATTTGATTGGTAACGTCATAAATTATTAATTATATATAAAAAGAACGAGTAATATGTATTACAGGCGGTTCCGGTTACCCACTTGAGCCTTGGCTTATGACCCCACTACCACATGAACAAGAAGGCACAGCGAGGTACAGGTAAAATGATGCACTCTGTAAAGGTAGTAACGCTATAGAGAGTCTTTTTGGAGTGTTGAAAAATACATGGCGTTGTTTATCAGAGCAACGGGTTTTAGTTAACGATCCAGGATTTGCAGGCAGAATTGTTAACGCCTGCGCAGTACTTCATAACATACGCATCTCAGAGTGGGAATATGAAATTCTTGATACCGTACCGGAAACACCAAATCACCTTTTCAATGAGCCCCTTGAGGAAATTTTACGACCATCTGCAGCTGCAAGGAGAGTGCAAGATCGCATTATTGCACGATATTCTAATGTATAGACGCTCCCTTAATCTTACTAATCTTACTATCTTACTAATATTATAAATGTGAAAGTTTGTATGTTTGGATGTTTGGGAAATCATCACGCGGAAACGACTGAACGGATTTGCATGAAATTTGGTACGCAGATAGCTTATGGGGCAGATTGTTTAATCGGCTATTTTTTTTAAGAGTTGCCACCTGTTAAAAAAGTTTAATTTATTTAATTTGCGGGAACGACTGAATGGATTTGCATGAAAATTTGCACACAGATAGCTTATGACCTAGATTGGAAAATAGGCTTTTCTAACCTAGGTCATAAGCTATATGTGTGCAAACATTTCATGCAAATCACGTTTAGTATGTTTCCGCGTATTAATTTAATTAAACTTTTTTAACAGGTGGCAACTCTTCCAAAAATGAGCCTATTTTTCACTGTAGGTCATAAGCTATCTGCTTGCAAAATTTCATGCAAATCCATTCAGTCGTTTCCGCGTATTTATTTAATGAAACCTTTTTAACAGGTGGCAACTCTTAAGAAAAGT